GCACATTGCAAACACTGAAAAAAATGCATTGCAACATTGACAATAAAAACAAAAAAAAATAATATAAAAAAAAAATACGAAAATGTTTCGATCAAAATTTGCTGTTTATGTGCAAAACCTAAAAGGCAATTAATTATGTAATTGTATTCAAAAGTCAAAGCCGAAATTAAAGACGAAGCCAAAAAAAAAAAATAAGTTTTCACGAATTGCAAGTAGATGTCAGAACAATGAAGTAAACGAAAAATGATTACCTTCGTACATACATACATACATACATAAATACAATAAAATGGTTATAAACACATTGCATCTGTCTTATATTGAATGTAATATGAATATTATTGAAGATAATAAAACATAAAAAAGAAATTGTTTTCACTTTATGTCGGCGAGTTGAGTTTTTCTTTAAAAGGAATTGTAAAGGATACTTAAAGGTGAAGTGATTGCCAATATTATCAACATTTTTAAATTGCATAAATTTTTAATGCAGTCGCACTCGATTGGTACATTTGTACAGATTGATACATTTTTATATTGGGCTATTGGCAGAAAAAACAAATAAAAAATAAAAAAAAAACAATACAGCGATGTTATTTTGCAAAATTTCAACAAATTAATTTTCGTGATAAGGATAAAAAATATTTGGGATGCGATTTGCATCAAATTTTGGCAAATACCCAATCGTGTGATCCTGCCTTTAAACTTGTATTTATACGGACCATGTTTAAGAATGAACTATAAAAACTTAACCAAAAAAAAAAACAAAAATAATATTTAAAAACTTGTGAAAATTTGGTGCGGCTATAATTTTTTCGACTACTGTACATTAGACTGCATCACAAATGAGAAAACAGTTTAAGCTTAAAAAATCTACATGAAAATATAAAAAAAAAATTTATCAACGGAATCATAATAATGAGATTTTTGATGCTGTTTTTTAACTTTTTTCAAAGATTTGTGTAAGAAAAACTTGAATCACTGCTCCAAAACTTTACCGATTTAGACTTATGAGGTATCAGTAGGTATTTTCTCACCCTTTTTAATTCTTTGCAAAAAAAAATCATTCACGTCCCATTTTTTTCTTTATTCAATACCAACACATCTTAATTCAACATGGAATGACACTCGTTTGTCTTACCTTCCTCCTCCATAATTTGAATGAGCTTATTCGCAAATAAATTAAAAGGGTGAGAGAATACCTTACCTCATAAGTCTAAATTGGTAAGGTTTTGGCTGGGTTCTTTAAGTTTTTCTTAAACCAGTTTTTGAAAAAAGTGCAAAAACAACATCAAAAATCTTATTATTATGATTACGTAAACAATTTTTTTGAAATATTTTTATGCAAACTTTTTAAGCTTAAACTGTTTAGTCTTCTGAGGTAATTTTTTCAAAAAATATTAAAAAAAAACTGTTTTTATTAATAAAAAAAATAAATTTTTGGAGGTATTTTCAAATCGGTTCAGCTTACGTAAATCTCAAATTTTTGCGAGATATTTTAGTGAAAGCCTTAAAATGTAATAAATTTTATAATTCCAGTGGAAAAACAGTACCGATTTTTTGTTGTATGGGGAGTGATGCAGTCTACTGTACATTAGTTGACTATGATTACTCGGCAGTGCTATCATAGTAACACAATGCCATTAAGTGCATTTTAAAATTTTCAGGCAATGGCCTCATGCGATTATCCATTATATTTTTTGAGTTTGGGTGAATATATTTTTTTCAGTATTTTTCTTTTAACCAAAATATGGTGAAATAAAAGTGAAAATAAAAAAAAATATTTTGCCAGGCCTACTTTGTATTCAATTTGTAATAAAACAAAATCTGTATTTTACGTTTGTATTCAGTTCATTTGATCTTTATTTATCATAGAATTCAGTAAATTTAATTACACTCTTTTATTTAAATTCTAAAGATATTCAATATAAGGATTTATTTATTCGGAGCTATAATTCAATCCACTGTAGTCCGATTTTCATGGAATCTACGAAAATGCGAACACTGCATCTGAATTGCTACGGAAGCTCATTGAATTCAGCGATAAAAAAACTCATAGATTTCAAGAAAAATCGGAGAGCGGTGGATTCAGTGATAGCCCTGATTATTTGATTATTTGTTTTTCCTTCTTTTTTTTTTCATTGTTAACATTAACGTATCATTAAATTTAGGCCTAGATTTTAAAACAAACAAATAAAAAAATTTAATTTCAACGCATAAAAAATACATACATATGCAATTGTAAACGTCGATAATTTCTTTACCAAAAACGTGATTACAAGCGCAGCATTAGTAACGGTAATTAATTATATTATGTATTAACTTAAAGTACTTTAACACACTTATTGAATAGCGCTTAGAAAAAATAGCATATTTTTTATAGATATTCTCAACTTCTTCCGCGCCAATACGTCGCAATGTTGTATGTCGATGAAGAAAAATTTATTATTTTTTTTTTTGGACAATTGAAAAACTTAATAACAGCGTCCGTAACGGATATGCTCTATAAAATAGAAATTATAATTTAACCGTTAATATTGAATTTACATTTATTCCATCAAATTTAGCCGTTGTTTTATGATTTTTATTATTTCGATCAACTTTTGAACGCAATTTTTGATTTTGACTTTCTCCATCATATTGCAACCGTTACTTTTAGATTAAATTTATTAAATCATACAATATTGAAATCGATCATAAAAACGCCATCTCCATCATAACGAATAAAAATCGAATCGAAAAAAATAAAATTCCCAAAATAAAAATTACTATTTTTTATGATCCAGAAATAAAATTCTTGATATCTGACTGCTTTCGGCCCCTCTTAATAATGCTTTAATTAATCTTCGTAAAGGCAACTAAAATAAGTAACTGGCATCGCAAGTATGCTGAAATAAATATGTATTTTTGAACCAATTTGTGTGGAGTTGCAAATCAAAATTAAAAATAATTTATGAAATTAGATTATGTTAAAATGTTTAATGCAATATTTTTCTATTGGAAAGCTAGTTTTAAAATTATGCAATACAAGTTTACGTTTTTAATAAAATTTAATAAATTTGCGAACATATTTCAGCTTGAACGTAGTTTTTTGCTAATATACATACATATGTGTTTAAGTATTTTTTTTTTTTGTATTTTCAAACGAAATATACTGCATAAACACATCTGGTTTTTGTTGTTGTTTACATTGTTCTCTGAATACAATTAATCGTTACATTTGCAAAGTAATTTATTTAAATTCTAAACACACACACAAATTGTGCATACATAAATTTCTAAATCTCACAATTCAGTTAAATGTTTACTTAATAGATTTAATTTTAATGAATTAATTTTAATTTTTACAATTACATTTGCGCATGAAGCCACATTAAGATTTTGGTTTGAATTTAGTTAAAGGATACATTTTTACTATTTTTTCTTCATTCAATTTGTAATTAAATATATTTGCATATTTGCCTTTTGCTTTTGTTTTTTTTCTTTCTTGTTTTACCTTATTTAGAGAAATTAAAAAGCTTTTGATGACAGTATTAAAATTGCACTCACATTGCCCGTAACCGAAAAGGTACCAAACACAAAGATCTTAGACATTACGAAATTAGACGGAAAATCTCAATTTACTGTGAGAGTTCGCAAAAAAGTACTGCATCAGCTATTGTTATTTACGATTATAAACTGTACATAAGTATGCATTTGGCTGTTGAATGCATTCTTGTCTATGTAGGTATGTGCATGAGTGCATCTATTCACGTGTTAGTGGCGTATGTACATAACTATGTACATGCATGTTACATATCGTCATTATCAATGCAAAAATCTTCTTCTTCTGATGCCAACGGACCAAAGATATCGAGCCCTAGCCGCTAAAATAACGTAAGCGACATTTTTTTTCAAAATTTTCTTTTTGATGCAGAAATATTCCTAGAGGATCTAGATGCGTCTGCATCAAAAATTAAATTTTGAAAAATAGTCGCTTACGTAATTTTGGCGGTTAGGCCTCGATATTACAACTATGTTCATGAAAGATATAAAAATAGTTTTAAAAGATTTGCTGCTTCTGTTAAAATAAAATTTTTTTAAAGGAACTCAGGCATTGATGATGACGATATGTATGCACAAACGTACATACGCATCCTGCATATTTGCCTCGCAGTAACCTTAGCTCTAAATTGCCTTACATTCATAGTACCGTAGTTAGATCTTATTTTAGTTTCCATTACACTTTGATGTAAGTTTAATTTATGTATTCATAATGCTTGTGTTAAGTGTATGCAAGCTGGTGCCGCATTCACTTATAAGTTTTGTGTGTGTGTGTGTGTTCGCCTTAAATCGTACAATGCATATTATAAATTTCACATTACTTATTTTATGTTCTTTATTTTTTACATTCCTTTACAATTCATTACAATGCATTATTAACTTTCGATATCAAGTCGTAACTTTGCAGTTCTGCAATTTTATCTGCAACCATTTCGTACTTTCTCAATTTCTATTTTATTCTCCTTGCGATTTTTAAAAACTAGATGCGCCTTCTTGTATGTATATTATTGTTATATTCTTTGTGTTTTTGTAATACTTCCTTGTATCTCATCATTTCCATTTATGTACTATACATATTGTATATATTATATATATATATATGTATGTAAATTTTTCAGTTTATGTTATGTTTAAAATAATTTGTAAATATTTTTGCACAAATGGCAAATAAATAAGAAATATTATGTTAAAGCTTTTCAGCCAACGCGTAAAAAAAATGAAAACACTTATGTATATGTACATAAATTTAAACTCAAAAGGTTTATACAATAATGGCATTTCTTTATGAAACACATTAAACTGCTTTGAAAATGTCCAAAAGCCCTTTCGCAGCAAAATATTATCTACTTTCAATTTTTTGGACATTTATGCCGATAAACTACAACATTTCGCTTTGCATGCACTCAAAATATGTATGTTTTGTTTACTTTTTAATTAAATATAAACTATTTTATGCTAATTTAATCTAAATTATCTTGGAAAATCAACTTTATATAACCAGATGAGCCATCCAGTGGCGTCGCACAGAAGGGACAGACCGCTTGAAAACCGTTAGTGCCATGCGGTATGTCAACATTTGCCCAGTACCTGTGAAAGATGAAGAAATGTCAATGAAAATAACTAAAAATAAATAAAGGCAAATTTCGGCTATATAAAGTGACGTAGAAATGAATCTAAAGAAATTTCACTATACACAGTAGTGTGTCCTAGGCGAACTATTTTATTTTTATTTTTTGTTACACTTTTTGTTTTTTTTTCAGGAGAGTTTTTATATTTTAAAATTTTGTTTTGATTCGTGTTTTTGTTTTTTTTGCATCTTTCAGGGGAGTTCTTATGGTTAAGGGTTAGACAAATGCCTCAGGCTTGTGCTATCTGTCCGACTATGAAAGAGGTTTTACAAAAAACATGGTTTATAGAGAAATTTAAAGCTATTAAACTGCAGATCGAATTTCGGCACTAACTGGCACTCCAGAACGTTGTATCTTGCAACGGCAGTAAGGCTTCATTTGAAATGAAATTACGATCATAGTATCGGAAATTATTTATGTATAGAGCGATAGAGGAATACAACATTCTTTCTATAAACTGGTATGGTTGAAGCTGTCAGCGATTGTTGGCAGCTTTACAACTGATCCAATACAGCTTCTTGGAATCGCAGTCATGTATTTATGAATATATGAAGTAAATACATCGTTTTACTATTTTCCATGTCCGTAGCTGGAGTCGAAGCAACTCTAATCCTTGTTCATTCTTACTAAATAGACTGACAGACGTAACGGAGTTAATGCGTCATCATAATTTTCGTTTATAAAAAACAAATGGTATGCCAGGATAAAAGCTTGTTTACTTTAAGAAATAGGGAACTTTGATTTCAAGTGAGTGGCACACACAATCGTGGTTACCATATGAATCTCAGTGGCAGTTCATAAAATTACATTCATCGAGCTAACTACGAAGCCATTTGCTTTTATATTCATGCTTACTTGACTGTCTTCTCAGTCGCCATGTGACCGCATGGATTAAAAGCGTACGTGGGTGCACCAACATCAACGTAAAAGGCCGGTTCCAAACCCATACAAAGCGTAACGACCGGACCAACTTCGAGGCACATGGGACAGCGACGGGCACCAGTACTCTTATCCTGCCCCCAATCGTGATGACCTGTAAGCAAATATAATTAAAAAAAAAATAAAATACAACAAAATATTTTGATGCTGTCGGAAAGCAGCTAAGCACATACCCTGTACATGTCCGCAATTTAAGTACACATAAGGCTGATTCACTTGATCACCGATATTCACTTTTCTAGGTATTACTAAGGTATTCAAACCGACCGGACATTGCGGACGTCCAGCGTTGATTTCATCAATTAACTTTTCCAAATCGCGTTTGGTCTGAAATGGGGGGAAAAAAACGTAGCTTAGTAATATAATATGTAAGTGTACTGGAGCAAAAGCTGTACGCTCTCCTACAAACCGGCGAATGTTGTAAGCCCTCGGCCGAGCGCCAAAGCAGCGTGGCACCACACAAATCAATCAATGTGCCATCTTGCAGCACATTCGATTCATCATAAATCTGCAAATAAAGTAACCAAAATGAGGATAGTTTCAAAAATTTTTAAAATTTATATT